TTTTTTTTTTTTTTTTAGAAATGCAACTTTAGCTACTCCCTCATATTAATTCATATTTAAATTATCTGCATGCAGCATGCCTTTATTCCAATAAAAACAGGTCCAGCTCATGGCACTAGGACTGGATGTACCTAAACACATTCAATCAATAGGAGTCAGCAGACGCAATGGGTGCTGGGGTTTGCCCTGTTGAGCGCTGCTGAGGATCATGCATCAGACACGTCCGATTCCAGCACCATGGACAGCTCCTGAACGAGCTCCCCTCCAGTGCCTGATTCAGGACCACAGACAGCTGCTCATAACTTTCAATTGATAGAAACAAGACTTTCTGTGCTGTATATCTGATTGGAGTGCACCACGTTAAGGTTCTCCGTATAGAGACGGTCCATTTAGATCGTTGTTATTATCATCAGAGGGCCTTGGCACACACTGCAGGCCATTAGGCACAGTAAGGGCTACAAAATCCCATTATGAGATTTAATCAAGTAGATGTAAAGGCCCATGTGTGTCTGCAATTAGAGCCACGTCGTCCAACTGCTTAATGAGTCAAGATAACGGTGCCAAATGGTTCACAATTGTTATTGGATTTATTGTTTAATTTAAAGTGTAGGTCTGCAGGGAAATGTGTGCAAAAACGATGCACCCTTATCACACCCCTGCGCATATAAAGCCATTATGATTACACGGGTTTGTTGTGTAAAAAGGAAAGTTAGTTAATTGAGGCGTGCTGAAAAATCACGTGCTGACGCAAGGAAATGCCACTATCCTGCCCCACCGGCCTGCTTTCCGGTATCACGTGTTGTCTGTAAACTAGAAATGTGGCATTTCCCCCAAAATTTTAATAGCCTACTCATGCGAGGAGGTGTAATGTTTTTACCTACAAAGCACATATGGTATTACATTTCTAACATTAATACTTCCCAAAAAATAATAGATTATATGGCATGCATAGAGCCCACAGAGAGTGAACAATTTTACAATAAACAGCCCAAGACTGAATGGTTAAAGCCCCATACGCAAAGTAGAAGCCCCCCTGTCCCGTCCCGTCGCGGTCCGGGAGGATTTGTAAGGATTACTCACTTGCCACGGTGAGAACCAGGAGAGCCAGCGCTGCTTTCACCGGGGCTGCCATCGCTTCCTCCCCTCCAGTGCGACTGACACAGGAAAACTTAAAGTGTGGATCCCCCCTCTTCTCTTCTCTCGATGTGAAGTAAGTAAAGAGTGGAACAAAAAAATATAAAAAGGCAGGCTGGATTATAGCGGTTTCATTGCAAGAAATTCCGCAAATGACGACCGGTAGCTGAGGCTTGGAGGCATGGAGAGGAGCACTGACTGCTGTCTGAGCCTAGAGATGAGGAGGCTGGATGCTTTCTGCCAGAGCGCACCGACTCCAGCGCTGGTCCTGGAGCTGTGATTGCGCGCAGCGGAAACCGGCTGTAGAGAGCAGAGTCCCCCTCAATTCTTCTTGAGTGATGCAAACAACGTTTTCCTCGAGAATATTGGGTCAGGAGCTACTGGGGATACGCCAATCCTGCTATCGCCGAAGCGGCCATTCCTCAGATAAAAGATTTAAGCGCCCCGGTCCTGACATCGCCCTGCCCGCCCAGTGCGCTCTCCCGTCGGGCGTCAGTTTCACTCTCCGCCGTCTTGATCGACACAGTTTGACATGACAACAAACAGGAAGCGATAACAGTCAGAAATACCTATAGGGAAGGCATTTAATACCCAGCAACCACTGAAAGCTACCGTATCTTCTCCAATCACGAGACAAATCCCTTCATTGAAAGTTTACTTTAATTAAAACAGACTTTTATGAAGCTCAGAAGGGATCAGCTACAGGAAGCCAGAGTGGTTGAAAAAGAAAACGTTATCTTTTTAAATTCTGAAGTCTGTTAACTAATGACAAAATAAAAAATTAAAATAATTGAACCCAGAGACTGAAGTTATGTGGAAGCAGCAAATCAGCAGTGGCCTTGTTATCTGCATTAAGCATATTGTGGTGCAGTTGTTTGTTCCCTCACTGAGACTGGAGTGGGTGGGGGCGATTCTGTGGCATGTTGGGGTCATGATATTTCCTGCAGGAAGCATGAAAACATTTAGGACTTGGCAGCCCACCATTTGAAATAAAAAGAACCCTGTGAATGTGATATTTTATTTATCCCTATGGGGCAATTATCCACTCTGTTTCCTCACCATCAACCCCACAGGGAGGTCAAAGGTCAGGGTCAGCCACAGGACAATAGAAATGCTCAAGGACACTTCAGCAGCAGAGACCCAGAGGACAATCCTGTAATAACAAGGCTACCAAAAGCTGATAGCTACAATCACCAATCATTGTCAGTTCATCTAATCAATTGTTTAATTCATCACAACACAAAGACAGGCATTGTAATAACAATATTAGGAAGAGAAAAACAATAACTGCTAATCAAATCCGCCTCTGCCAACCAACTCGAGCCTATCGGGTTACAAAAAGTCGAACTGTAACATTTATCAATGAGAGAGCCATGACAGGCAATACTTTTTATTGCCCACTCATAATGTGGTGAATCAGCCTCAGATCGTGATGTCGCGGGTCTGATGAGGTATCACAGAGGGACAGAGGGGTGTGTTTATGTGTGTGTGTGTGTGTGTGTGAGTGGGAAGGCTGCAGGCTTCCTCAGTCTGCACACGTCAATGCGGTATAACTACCCCAGAGGTCCCTTTGGTGATGTGAGGGGAGGAGAGGGCAGGAGGAAGACATGGCCTTAAATGTTCTTCACAAAATGACTCCAGCTAATTATTTCACTGCTCGGACAGAGAGGAGGAGGAGGATGAGGATGAGGGTGAGGAAGATGAGGAGAGGAGGTATAGGAAAAAAAGAAGAGGAAGAAGAGAAGGGAAAACGACTTTAGTTAAATCCTTTCATGAGGACTCTGGTTTTTTTAAATAAGATATATCCAGTGTGGAGGAAAAGAAAGTTGAGGAAAAGTTAAACATTTTGGGAAATACTCTAACTGTTTTACCAAGAGTTAGATAAGAAAATCAACTGTCATGGATGAAGCAAGAGCCAGCAGCTGGGTAGCTTAGGTTAGCATAAAGACTAGAAAAAGGGGGGGAAAGCTATCCTGGATCTGTTAAAAGAGGAAAAAGTAGTACCTTGGTTAAGGTTAAGGAACAACCAAGGTCTTGTTTAAGAGAAACCAACGCTGACTTGACAAACAATGATCCCAAGTCCAAACCTTTGACCTATCCATCCAGTTGGAGTAATAAGCAAAGCAACCAAATTCTGGACAAATGCTGTGTAATATGTGACCCCTTAAACATGTGCAGCCGATAGAAGACACAGGAACACAGTTTCTAACTCTCACCTGAACTTTGGCCTCACTCCCTCGCTCATTCATCACAGGCATTTTATGGTTCATGCATTCATGCAACACACTCCATAAAATTAACCCCTAGTCACAGCTCCAAATGCAACCAAATTGTATTACCCTCCCATCACTCCCCATTACAGCCACACTTCAGCAACATGCAGGCATCCGCCTCCCAAAGTCCCCACCCGTCTCTCCTAATGAGCATTATCTCTGTATCCTAAAAGCAATGGAGAGGAGCACAGGAAGGCCAAATTTAATCAGAGCTACTTAGAGCTCACTGTAGGGTCTGCTCAGGCTCTGAAGAGCCAGCCAGAAAACACACACACACATCTAATCTAAAATCTAATGCTTTGGTCCCATGTTTTGTAAATACTATAACAGATAGCTGGGAGATTATCAATATCACACACACACACACACACACACACACACGGTTTCAATAAAGCACTTTACATCTCAGCTTTAACTTGTCCCATCATAAACCTGCTCAGAGTTCTTCTAAAAACCCATACTGGTGGTTTTAGATGTTTCAACCCATTGAGTGCAGATTGTGTCTATTTCACACTAGTGCTGACCATTTTGCAAAGCACAGCTTACTACATTTATTTAAATGGAGGATAAGTTACATTATTATTACATAAAAACACAGTTGCAAGCAGGGATAGTTTTAAAACTCTTGGTGTGTTTAGTGCTTTAGGGAAACTGACATCAAAGTTATGAAAGATGGATGTTATATAACATTTAATTCACAGAAACAATAACAAAAAAAACGTAAAGGTGACAAAATGTTACACTCATGGTACACCTACACAAAAAGTTCATTTTATTTAGTACTTACTTGTCATGATGCAACATCTATGTTATATTGGAGTTATTGTAATTACCAGTTTAAAACTTTACTCAAACGCCTTGTTGTAAGTTGTAATTATGAATGTGATATTTCTCAAAGCTCCAATACATCTGACTGATCAGTTTACTGGGAACTGGTACATTTACAGGTCTTATGGAGAACTACTACTAGTTGTATAAAGCCTTTTGTGGCTACTGATGGAGCTGTGCAGGAGTCTTATAAATTGACTCACATGACATCACTTGTGTCAGCTTTGGTTGGTTTGGAGTAAGAGAGAAGTGCTTTTACCAGATAGTTTACCAGAGGCGAAATATCAATATAAATATGGTTAGGAAAATATATAACATATAAAAACTTGCTCTTTATAAGATAAAATGCATACCTTTGGTTGAGTCTGGTGGTCAAAGTGCCGAAGTGTTTCACATTCACATAATCATTCATCAGTTTGCTTCCTACAGCAATGATAATCTGATATCTACCAGAGCCCAAGCACTCTGTCATCATGATCTAATTAAGCATACATTGTACACAGCTCCAATATGTATATGTAATGTGTCCTCTGTACGCCAACACACAAACACACACTGTGTCTCCTCTTCCACACACTCCTTGGGGTTACAGCAAACTTACAACATCTGCATCTATTTCTCAACAGCTGCATCACCATATTGTATATCATTTTAGTGGATTCGGCTTGTTTGGTTTACTCCTCTCCAAAGAGCCTCCTCACCAGCCTCCCTCTCATCTAACAGCGTGTTTGTTTGCCTCCAGGCTGCACAGTCAGAGACAGTGTGCCCCGGTGAAGTGGCCGATTCCCCCGCTGCATAAATGTTATCATAAATTCACATCACTAGGGGACATTTGTATCTTGGACTGACAGTATGAGATGGGGCTTTCTAAATTCCAGACTGGTAGCCTGTCACAACTGGTCATTTTCCTGCTTCAGTGGGGCAGAATCAGAATGATGGGACCTCCCAGATGTGTAGTGATGAACGCATCTCATCAGCTATCTTTATCTCTCCCTATGCTTCCTGTTGCTGCTCCGTGCTCATCGCCATTGCAGCTTGCCTTCGGTCTTTGCCTCCTTACTCTACTTCTTGTACCTTTGTTCCATTCATGTGCCTGCTCCCTTTTTCACCCCTTCTTATCTCCTCTCAGTGCTCCTCTTCCTACTTTTAGTCTTTCTTCTTGAGTGCTCTACACACCCTGTCGCTCTCCTCTCATCTCTCCTAAACTGAACAGACATATAAACCCCTGCTGAGCTCCTAGTGGGTGGGAGAAAAATTTTGAAAAAATTGCAGGAATCTTATCATGGCTGAACTCAATTAAATGTTCTGACGAAGCCAACAGCCTCAGAGCAGTGCTCCTGCTGCTAGGCTACATCCTGGCTCATTTGATTTTCTGTAAAGTTAGAATGGAAGGTGGATTTCTGTGAGAGGCCCCAGGTTTGCCCCCAGAACTTGTGGAAGTCTGGGAAGTGAGGAAAATCCAATGAGCGAGTATGCTCTCAGTTTCAGGATTTCATATTCAGTATGCACACATGTCCTTATCTGAGCACTGTTGGGTTAAGTGTTCATTTTGGAAACCATTAGATACTGCATAACTTTTGATGATGTGGAAAATCCACCACAGAGCAAATGATAGTTGAAATAATTCAAATGCGGGTATGTAGGTTGATCAAATTTTAAAGCAGTCTTATAGAGCTCAGGGCATGCAGGGTGGTGTATACATGCATGGCTGCGCTGTCTCTATATGGCAGCCCTACACTTCACATAAAGCCTCTCATGTCGTCTTCACTGCAGGCCACGAAGATTCAGCATTGCACATAATCCAGTGGCAACAACAATCTGACAGGCTTGGACCCCACACACACGTACTGTTGAAGAAATATGACAGCGTTACACAATCCAGCATGTTCCTATGACA